TTTTTGGCAGTGCTATCCATAGCTTGTCATGATCAACCCATTCCCTTTGAGTAGTCAGTAAAGCACTGGTAAACATCTTTATGGTATTCTCTGCTTTCAGCCAAGATCCAGCTAATGTCAGCAATGATATCCCTCATTCCTCCCTGTGGCTTTACTTTTACATTTTATTTTTCATAAATCAGGAAAGCAAAATAATTGATGCATACATACAAATAAACAATATCTATTCATTTAAATGTCTAAACAGTACATTTTACAAGCCGGGCTTCTGCCTGCAGGTACACAACCTTTCTTAGTCCATGGGCCTAGAATCCGCAGATGCTGTCTCTCTCCATGCCATAGCCTCTGACACCAACTCTGCTGGCACTGCTTTTCTAGGTAGCATCTCTCATTCCACTCATGCTCTTTGTTTTTGATGGCCCTTGGACCCTCTGGTCCTAAAATGAAAGAATAACTACTCTCCCGTGTTAGGTACACATCTTCTACTATTTTAGTTGTGATCATTGCAATTAATCCTGATAACAGTTACTCACGATTGTTTCTTAAAATTCTGTCACCATAAACCTCAATCCCTGTTTACCAGAACTATCTGGAAAAGAGGAAAGCTATACAGTGGGGTTTAATCCTTACCCCCTTGTTCTTAAACTAAACACACTTAAGAAGACTTGTAAGCCAGTCACTTCGTGCCTTAAAAGCCTCAATTTTTGATAGCCAGTGTCTAAATTGTCTACCCCTATCAACACAGGGCGCTGAGGAAACAAGCTTTATCCTTGATTTAACCAATCCTTCCATTTCAGTTAGAATTTTTAACAACTGCATCCATAAGTCAAGGTCATGTTCATCAAACTTATACTTGCTCATAATATCAAATATCTTTACCTTCATCTGCTTGAGTTCTGGTCAGCTAGCCATCCAAACTAGGTCAAATGGGTACTAGCTGCAAGTTAGCAAGTTCACGCTCATTTCCCTACATTTCAGACCAACTGGCCACTTCACTCTCAGCTCTAGCCTCTAGTGGCTAGGTCACTGCCAATTGTTCAGGGGTTCTCACAGCTCCCTAAACTTCAAACCAGCCAGCCCTATCTCTCTCTCTCTCTCTTTTTTTTTAATGTTTTATTGTGAATTATGTGATAATTTACATGGGAGAACATTAGTTTTACATTCATCCTATCATATATCGTTTCATTGACATGGTTACAATCCCTTCCATGCATCATCAGCCAACCACAGGGTATATCCTAAAAGCCTGCCCCCCCACGTACCCCCTGCAACACCCTCAAGGTCATCAGCACAGAGCCCCTCTCCCTCTCTGGGTCTAAAGTCCCCAGCTGCTTTATCTCTCCTCGTTGTCGTCTCTGCCTTCAGGCATCACCCACTCTCTGCTCTTCTCCTTTCATGGTCCCAGGGACCTCTGCTCCTAGACTGCAAAGTTAATCACCCCCTCCTTGCTACAAAACGTCTACCTTTACATTTCCAACCCTCACAGTCAGTACTGATAACAATTATTCACTAATGTATCATAAGAGACCTATCCACATTTCATTTCATCAGCCTCACCGTGACAGATTGGATACTACTCAGTGGAGATTCTACCTTCCTCCATGCCCTCTGGATCTAG